CTAGCTAACATGCCTGGGGAATTCTGGGAGTTGAAGTCCAACCTTTTAAAAATGTTTCTAATATCATGTTTCTTAGCAACTCTAAGATGTATAGATTTCAATGCCCAGAATTCCCCAACCAGTACGATTATCTGGGGAATTCTGGGAGTTGAAGTCCACACTTCTTAAAGTTACAGAGGTCAAGAAACGCTAAAATTAGACCAATCCTTCCCTCCTCCTCAGGGTTTATTCCCACCAGGACCAAAGGAAAAAAAAATTACAGCAAGGTGACCCCGTCCCCCACCTGACAATCCTTTCGAATTCTGCCCGGTCGCGCTGCACTTGGATGGCCAAACTGTGCTCCTTCTGTGCCACCTGCTCCAACCGGCTCTGTTTCAACATGGCTTCCGTCTGCAGCTTCTTCTGCACGGCGTCCTTCTCCTTCCGCCGCCACTCGCGCTCGGTGGCCTCCTGGTTGCGCTTGGCCCTCAGGGCGTGCTGGAGGGGCAGAGAATAAGAGAAGGACAAGAGTTGGAAGGAACCTCGGAGGTCTTCCAATCCAGCCCCCTGATCAAGCAGGAGATCCTATACCATTTCAAACAAGTGTCTGTCCAGCCTCTTCTTAAAGAACCTCCAGCGATGGAGCACCCACAATTCCTGGTGGCAAGCTGTTCCACTGGTTAATTGTCCTCACTGTTAGGAAGTTTCTCCTGAATTCCAGCTCACTTCTCTCCTGGATTGGTTTCCATCTGTTGCTTCTTGTTCTTCCTTCAAGTGCTTTGGAGAATAATTTGACCCCTTCTTCTTCTTTGTGGCAGCCCCTCAAACACTGGAAGGTTGCTATCATGTCACCCCTGGTCCTTCCTTTTCATTAGACTTGACACACTCAATTCCTGCAACGGTTCTTTATATATATATATATTTAGCCTCCAGTGCACTAATCCTCTTGGTTGCTCTTCTCTGCACTCTTTCCAGAGTCTCAACCTCCTTTTTTATAGTGTGTCGACCAAAAATGGATGCAGGACTCTAGGTGTGGTCTTACCCTCTAATTAAGATTCTGTGCAATTCAGAAAACCCCTAAATCCAGGGGTGGGATTCTACCTGATCGGACCAGTTCTATAGAACCGGTTGTTAGGATTCTGCCCAGTTCGGAGAACCGGCAAATCGTGCCACGGGCTGGTCCTCTCCCCTCCCTGCCCACTTACTCTTTACCTGGCATGCGTGCCATCAAACTTGCCTGCATTTGGTAAGTTGCTATTTTTTCCTTTTTTCCCCCTCAGGCATCAGCTGTTCTGCTGTGCCGGAAATCATTGGATTTCTTGCTTTTAGCTAATCTAAAAGCAGAGCTGAACCTTCCTTAGGACTGAAGCTTCTATTTTTCAGTGCAGACTCAGATAGCAGATTGCAGAACAATAGATCTCTAAGGGAATCTGTGATTCTGCGAGCAACTCAATCTGCCTGCCTGCTTGGCCTTGGTTTTAGGTAAAAGTTGCTCTTTTTTATAAAAAAATTCAATATTTACACAAATATTTACAATATTTACATACAAGCCACCCCCAGCCAGTCACATGACCACCAAGCCACGCCCACAAATTAGGCCACGCCCCACAGAACTGGTTGTTAAGAAATTTGAATCCCACCCCTGCCCAAATCCCACTCCTGGCTGGTCCCGCCCCTCCCAGGAGTCCCCACGTGGCCCGTTTTGGATGCAGGGCCTCCTTTCAAATCTCAGAATATTGGTAAAAAAAAAGTTATCACCGAGCCGACACACTTTCTCTTTCAGTCTCTTCCGTTCCGGAGCTGTCCCAACTTCAGCAGCTTTAATGGCTGCCTCTCCGCCGCCGGCAAAAAGGGCTTCTCCTGAATCGACCAGGGACTTTGCGGTGTCCCTGGGATCCACAGGATGTGCCCTTCGCTATCACCGTCTCTACGGGACGGTTTAGGTCCGTTTGGACCGACCAGGGGGCGAAGATATCGGCTGCAGTCTCAGAGCCCCGAGACTGCAACCGTATCGTCGCGACGTCAGCTCCGTTTTCGCTGTCCCGGAGGCTCAAGGGAAGCCTCAGGAGCCTGGGGAGGGCAAAAACGCCCCCCTTCTTGCTGTGGTGCAGGAGGCCAACTAGGCCACACCCACCGATGGCCACGCCCACCCAGCAACCGGGCAGAGAACCCGTCGCTAAAACTTTTTGAAGTTGGCCACCCCTGCCCCCTTTGGGTGGTCAAGCGTGGGTAATTGAGGGGGAAGACCCCCAATATCAAACCATACCTGTTCCGCTTGGTGATCCTGGGCTTTTTCCTGTAGGGCCCGCAGACGGGCTGTCTCCATTTCCTTCTCCCGGCGGGTCTTCTCCTGCTCGGCCTCGAATTCGGCTTCCCGTGCCTGCATTCAGGGAGAAAGGAACAACAGAGTTAACAGATTAAGGGATAAATCAAGAGTTGGAAGGGGCCTTGTAGGTCATCTAGTCCAACCTGCCCCTCCGCCCACTCTGATCTCCCACTCAGGAAAATTCTCCTTCGTTCCAGGATGGGATTTCTCTTTTAACGATCGTTCCACCTGTTGCTAACTGTCCTGACCTCAGGTCTTTGGGAGAATACGTTGAACCCCTTCATGGGCTTGGGGGGGCCAGTTGGACTGCAATGCCCAAAACTCCCCAGCTCCCAGCTCCCAATGCAATTCTGGGAGTTCTCGTCCCAACACAACCCTAGAGCGCCAAGTGGGGTGAACCTTCTCCCCACTCACGAGACTGCAGCAAATGATAGCTGTTTTGATCATCCCTCACCCAAGACTCGGACTGCAAAAAAATTGTCTAAGTCTCCAAAGATGACACTGCGGGCCACATTGGAAGGGCCCTTGGAGGTCTTCTAGCCCAACCCCCTGCTCGAGCAGGAGAAAAATCTGTGGGTTTTGTTTTTCACCTCAGCACCTTTGGTGGGAAGGGAATTCCGCCCCCTGGGAGCCACTCCAGAAAAGACCCCATCGAGCTTTCCCAACCATGTGTGTGTGTGTGTGTGTGTGTGTGTGTGTGTGTCTTTGGGGGACATGGTTCATTGGGAGAAGCCGTCGACGTCTAGGAGGGCTGGGCGGCTTCCAGCGACTCACACACCGTACCATTTTCTGTCGCTGGTACTCCAACACCCGCATGTCGGCCATCCTCTCCTGGTTCAGCTTCTCCTCTTTGCGTCTCTGGTTTTCGTCGTTGATGTTCCGGATCTCGGCCTGGATCCTCGAACGTTCCAACCTACGGCGTTCCATTTCCTAGAGAAGATTAGAAAGGAAGGAAGGAAGGAAGGAAGGAAGGAAGGAAGGAAGGAAGGAAGGAAGGAAG